TATATGTACTCGATACTGAAAAAACTGTATTGGTGCATCGCTACTAGAAACCAATAGATGAATTTATGTAATACAGGATGTAATGTAATACAGGAATGGCACCTGCAGATAATTTGTATTGCGTGTAAAGTAGGGATGCACCGATATATCGGCACCAAAAATGGCACTTTTGGCATAATGCCGAAAGAGCCATGTTTCGGCCGATACATCGGCACATCCCTGGTTTCTTTGCTCCCCGCTGGGCGCTGCTCTGTGTTCCAGCGGGGAGAAAAGAAAGTGACAGCCGGCTGAGCGCTGCAGGACGAGAGCGCTGTGAGTGGCCGGTGTCTCTTCTCCCACACAGCTCAGCCGCCTATCACAGTCCGGCAGAGCGGTGTGGGGGCGGAGACATCGCTGTCACAGGAGGCTGAGCTTTCCTCTCTACACAGCTCGATCAGCCTTCTGTGACAGCGTGTCAGAGAGAAGAGCAAGGTACACACACTTAGTGATCAGTGATCGCTGGGTGTGTGTACATAATTGAGGATATGGTATGTTAACTATATCCTCAATTATGAATGAATGGGAGAGATCTGCATCACCGATCTGCATTGTAGTTATAGTAAACAATGTTCTCATGTTATGAATGAACAGGGGACACAGAAAAAGATTGAGGACTTTGTGTTCTCAATCTCTTTTTCTATTTTAAAAGGGAAATATCAGAATCTGTTTAGACCCCCAATATTTCCCCAAAGCCCCTAAAAGTAAAAAATATTTAATAAAAAATGAATAAAAATATAATTTTTGTTTAAAGTTTATAAAAAATAAAATATTTTAAAAAGTGAAAAAATAAAAAACAAACATTTTTGGTATCGGCCTAACATTTTTTTTATTTCTGTTTTAAAATTTCCATTTCGGTGCACCTCTAATGTAAAGTTATTTCTATGCCCTTATGCATCCCTGGAACCTGGGGTAAGCTCTCGTGTGCAATGACCTGACCTGCACATGTGCCATTACTCTTCCTCCTTCCCTAAATGGCTTTCACAAGCAAAGTCTATTAACCCTCTGTGTGAGAAAACCACCTCTAGTGCTTAAAGAGACACTGTCACCTTTGAAGACAAGGTGGTACTGGATTTGTAAAGGGGCTGTTCGCATCCATGCGATGCAATTTAGGTCTTGTTCACACCTAGGCGTATTGCATATGCGCGACCGTCGCGCGTTTTTTTTACCACGATTCGCGGTAAAAAGTCGCGCAACAAACACGCGTTTCCGAAGGCTACTTGGCTGTATCCCAATGGAAACGCGCAACAAAACGGCACAAAGTAGTACATAAACCTTTTCAGGCGTTGGCCGTTTTGTAGCGCGTTAGGGACGGGCGGAAATACGCCAAGGTGGGAACGAGACCATTGAATACAATGGGATTTTTATTTTTGAGCGTTTTGTAGAGCGTTCGTCGAGCGTAGAACGCGCTACAAAACGTCCAGGTGTGAACGAGTGCTTAGTGTGAAAGACAAAGGGAAACTCTATGAGCCCATGTAAATCCAGCCCCAGAGTTTTTACTGCTGAAAATCGGCTTTTGTATTTGATATTTTCTGAAACTGTGTCTAAGTTGCGACAAAGTTTTGGCTCCTTAACACATGTTGGTGCAATTAATTGCCTTCTATTTTAAAAGGCTACCCCAAGTCACTAAGGTCTCGTTCACACCTAGGCGTATATTGCATATGCGCGTCTGTCGCGCGTTTTTTACCGCGATTCGTGGTAAAAAGTCGCGCGACCGTTGCGCGTTTCCGAAGGCTACTTGGCTGTATCCCAATGGAAACGCGCAACAAAACGGCCCAAAGTAGTACCTGTACCTTTTCAGGCATGGGCCGTTTTGTAGAGCGTTCGTCGAGCATAGAACGCGCTACAAAACGTTCAGGTGTGAACGAGGGTTAACATGTGCTATGCTGATGGAAAAGCAGCACTTTTTGTTTCATGCCATTCAAATGAGTGATCTGCCTAAATACTACATGCACGCACCAACACAGCCCAATAGTGTAAATGGGCACAAGTGTTTTAGATTACTTAGCATGCATGCCATTTACATGAACAATGTCTAATGCAATGTCCACTTTAATATGTTTTTAAGGATAATACTGAAAATTGATTCTGCACAGAGAAAAGATTTGTACAGGCTGTAGAAAAACCAAAACCCTTTACATTGATGTCTTCCAATAAGCTATGTGGGTGTTGAATAGCGAGCAGACCTTCAAGGTAAGTGGCTCGAGTTCTCAGAAATAGTAAACAGGATTCCACCTCCCGCCTGCATTCTACTCCGCTGCACGCCACACCCCACTAGAGCCAAAATTACCTGTAATTTATATAAGCCAATTTGTATTTAAGATTCAATTAAGCTTTTGAAAAATAGGTATGTACATGCACTTTCATAGATGCTGCAAATAAAAAAAAGGAAAGGAGTAGGAGACACCCTTTGCCACGGGCAAGAGAAATACTTGCTTAAGCTATAGGTTAGGTTACTAAATAAAGGAAATTATAGTTGGGTGTGTGTTGAGCTAAATTCACCCAGCCTTAGGGGTTAAACAGCAGCCCACACCTTGGGTGTGTAGAATATTCTGATCACTCGAAGACACACGTATAATCCTCCTGGCACAATGTACATTAGCTCACCCACTTTACCAAGTTTCATCTAAAATGACTTTGTTAAACTCTACAATGTGGACAACCCGATCACACTGAGCATACATGAGTGACGTATGGGCTATTGTATAACACTCTGAGCACTGTTCAGACTTGACAGATATAACAAAAACAAAAAAACACAACAGGCATACACATAGCCTCAACCTGCTCTAGGAAACCCAAGCAGGGATAAATCATTAACTAGATATTTCTCCTTATTCAGAGTTAATCAAAGGCTACAACCTTAAATCACCTTATTTTTTTTTTAACTTACCAGGACCTATGCTTGAAAATGCCTTTAATTACGTAATGCAGACCAATATTGATGTCCCAGTAATTTTGGGCCCAATGAAACTGCAACAGTTAAAGTGACATTAAAAGGAGAAACTATGAGGTGAGTGATTTTCACTCCTCATAGTACTAGCCGACCTGTGACAATGAAACTGTCACAGGTCAGCTCAGTAGATCGGGAAGTGAGCGAACACATACTGGCGTTTGCTCACTTCTCAATCCTGGATACAGCTGGCTCTGCCTCTAGATAGGCAGAGCCAGCTGTCACTCGCGCAGCTGGGCGGATCCAGACAATTGTCGGGATCCGTTTCAGCAGCGGCAT